AAGTATTTTAATTGGGCCAGGGATTTAGCTCAGTGGTTCCGGTGCCTGCCTCACAAGCACAAGGTCCCAAGTTCGATCTCTGGTACCAAAAAAAAAAAAAGAGTATCTTAATTGATAACCCACAAAACCATATTCTTCCAGTAGGCAGCAGTTATCTCCATAGTAACATAATAAGGCTCTGCTAACAGCCTTAACTCTCAGGGTGGAGAAAGAACTCATCTGGATGACTTTGTGAAGTTGTTTTTCTTTTTTCTAATATGCTCTGTTTTCCCCTTGCCTGAGTTTGCATGCTACACTTTAACTTCACATCACAGGAGTTTCTAGACTAACGACTCTGTCGTCACTAAAGTACGTAATTCCCAGTACATAAATACATAATCCACAGAGGATTTTTTTAATGTAGCTTTTAGTTGTCATGCCTCTAGATCATCTGGTGGTCTTATTTAGATTTTTTAAATGTAAGAACTCTCTTCCACTCATTACCCGAAGATCACCACCCACTAGAATAGCACAAATAGTTGAGGATGGTTAAGAAATATGTACACAGGAAGAAAAGAAGGAAAGAGAAGTAAAATTTTAAAAAGGAGACATAGAAGGAAGAAAATAAACTCTAATGATGAAAATAAGCTGTCACAAAATGAGTCCACATCTTTATTCCATCATGTCTTGGAGGAAAGGAGAGCAATACAGTTGGGAAAGAGTGAAAGACACAAAATTTATCTACTGACAGAGGGATAAAGGATTGAGTAGCTCTCATGGGACCCTTAGTTCTTAAAAGAAAGTTACTGTATTACTAAAAGAGCAAGACTGGCCCCTCCTCTCTGCCTGGCTTCCTGTCTGACCATGTGATCTCTCTCTCCTAAGTGCTCCTGCTATGATGCTATCCACCATGATGCTATCCACTATGAAGTCTCTACCAGACCTGAGCCCATGCCAGCTCAAGGCCCTTAAACCTCCAGACCCAGGATCTAAATAAACCTCTTTCTATATAAAGTTCTCAGCCTCGGGCATTGTGTTACAATAATGGGAAGTGGACTAATAGAAGTAGTACAAAAGTATAGTTTAAAAATATTTAAAAGCTACCCAGAATCATGGCACAAGAACACACATCTATAGTACCTGTCACCATGTTAGCACATCATTATTGTGCTAGAAGACCCTGCTGGGTAGATCACCAATTCTATCTCCTTATAAATAACCACTTGCTGAATTTACAGCCAACATCAGTAATTACCCAAGATGAGTATTGCAAGGGAGGAGCAGGCTGGGGAGAAGTGTGTACCTGTCACTGAGGACCCAGAAGCTGGAGATGTAGTTCCCAGTCTCACTCTTGGTCTGGAGGGAGAATGGGCATGAGTACAACCAGCTGTGGTGGAAGTGAGGAGTGCTCTGACAAGAGCACTGAACTCTGGAGGAACACATGAAAAGTTACATTTTCCAAAAGACAGTGGGTCAAGTGGGACACGGGACATTTCTAAAGATGGAAGGAAAGGGCAAAGGTAACAGTTGGGAAAAAGGCAGGGAAGAGAAAGTGGTCTGAATAACTGCTCCATCCCACATGACTCCAGGATGGGAGAATTGACCTTAAGGCTAGGATGAAAGTGCAGAGTTGGGAGGGAATCTCCTGGAAAGCAAAAATTGGTCTAGAAACCAAAACTAGCAGCTTTAAGCTTGGGCAGAGGTCCACAGCGTTGCCATCTGTGTCTCTCCTCTCCTTTCCCTGCACATCCCCATTCCCACCCCTTTATCAAACCATTGACTAGGCACCACCAATTCTCCCTCCATATCTTCTCTCTGCCATTCTGATTCCACTGTGTCCACTCAGTGATGAAGCAACTGTAGCAGCCTCCTGGCACGGTGCTATTTTTCTTCTCTCCACTCTCCAATGCACACCTGCATCCTTTGACTAGGGCACAAGAGTCTTGGCTGCTCAGCAGAATACAGAGGTGAAGGAGGCAGGTGTAGGTTGTGCCTGACTGTGGGTCAATACCGGACTAAGATATAAGTCACAGGGAGAGGCACTGGAGTGGATCAAAGTCAGACTTGGACTAGTTGAGAAGCAACACATGCAAAAATCCAGGATCAGTGGTATCAATGGGAAGCCAGGAATCATGCCAGGCACCAAGGACAACAGACTCATTTTTTATTTGGGCCACTTGAGTGAAGTATGGGCAGAACTACCAGGCTAAGAAAGACACCTTGAGTCAGTGACCCAGCAACAGTTCCATCAGATCCCTCCTTCAAAGGACATTCAACCCATTCCTTGCTCTCCCAGCAGAGAGCTTGGCAGTGCTCTAGCTGTAGCGCCCTCTCTCAGGCAGCCCCTCCAGCTGCCCTGCTCCTGGGACCACATCTGCCCATAGCATGGTAGGAGGAACAGCACAGCCCGACCAACCTAGGATTGAATCTCATATTGATCCTAAGGGGACAGAATGACATCTGTGTCAAGGAGTCCTCATGAGGAAGACAACCTGTTAGATATATAGTGGGGGCTGATAAATGCTTCTTCATCCGTCCAACAATTTATGAACATCTGACAGTGAATCACACACCACACCAGCTACAAGAGCAGAACCAGCATGCTCCCTGCCCCCATATACCTTCCAGTCTAGAGATGGGGACAGACATGAATCTATAATCACAAAAATAATTCCAAATAATAGGTATGACAAATGGGGGTGAGAAAGTGTGCATTTGGGAAGTTTGATCATTCTGAAAATCTGAAAAAGACCCTGCTGAAAGCTGCCTTCTCTAGTCACTAGACCAGAGGTTTTATTGGTCTGTAAATTCTCCGCAGGAAGCCAGTACCCTGTAAATGACACTTGTGTTCCTCTATTGTGTTTAGTATTTTAACTAGTGGCACCCATATTCACCCTCCTCTATCAGATCCTACACCTATATGTGTTTCACAGTGTCTACTAAAGTCTGTTATTTTAATAAATAAATCAGGGCTGGGGATTTAGCTCAGTGGTTCCGCCACCTGCCCCACAAATACAAGGACCCGAGTTCGATCCCCAGTACCAAAATAAATAAATAAATAAATAAATAAATAAATAAATAAATAAATAAATAAATAAATAAAATTTGCCTTCTAAAATCTGCCACAATTTAACAGAACTTGACTCTTAATTTATGACTTTTGTAAGCCAAGTTCCCACTGATTTCCAAGAAATCTGGCAGAACATGATAGGTGATCTGCAGAGAAACAATTATTCGGCTTTTCAGAAATTATATAATATCTGTACCTCATAAAGTATGACACCTCTAAACTGCTAGAAAATCCCAGACCTGAGCTGACTCACCTATTAGGGGTACGCAGAGAAGAAAAAAGTAAGACTAGTAGAATTCCATTTGCCAAATCCTCAATTCCTAAATTTTACAATTAAAATTTTAGTTTATGATCTAGGAAAAAAAAAGGTACCAGAAAAACTTCTGTGCACTGGAACATTCATTCCTGTTAAGGTTGCTTCTGCAAGGGAAGAAAACCATCGTTTACTTTTACCATTCTAGGTTCATGGCTGAGGCCTCTATAGCAATTTACAAGAGAAAATATACTAATTTATTTAAATACATTTTACATGAGACAAGAGGTTTCAAAAGGAAATGAAGATCTGAAGAAAGGGTTAAACCTGAGCCTTTTTAATAATAGGTTTGACTGGGGCCGGGATTTAGCTCAGTAGTTCTGGCGCCTGCCATGCAAACGCAAGGTCCAGAGTTCGATCCCAGGTACCAAAAAAAAAAAAGATAATAATAATAATAATAGGTTTGATGAAGAATAGAGCCATAGAGAAATATGATAGGGCAAAATAGTACATTCTAATGGCAGTAAGCTGGGAGGAATTTTAGCAAGGCCTGTTTGCTCAGAGTTTTCTATGCCTCTGTGTCTTTGGAGATTAGGATATTCCTTCCTTCTGCACATAGGGATGGCACTTGTCACATAAGAGTATATCTGTTTCAGAGTAGGGCCAAAAATGTTTTATTATCTGCTTCAGCAAAGAAGTATGGTGGGGAGAACATTAGAGTGACCTTGCTTTTTCCATTTTCTTGAATTTGTTTAACTTAAAATACTCAGTATGCCAAAGTGCCATATCTTGAGGTAGTACGTCCAAACCCCAGCTCTTGATATTAAGCCTGACTCTACAGTTAAATCTGGAAATCAACTCAGATAAGCAATTTTAATTATATAATGATATCAGAAAATTAAGTTCCACTTTAATTCTGGAAATTTTTTCAACATTAAGAGTTGCCCCCTTGTCAATATGTGCATGTTATTGTAATTAACAGCTATAATTATTCTTGACATCCATGATGGCTGTAACAAGTATGAAAGCCAAAGAAATCAAAGAAAACATTTTGCTATTAAATTTAAGTGCTCAATTATTTCATTAAAATTCATTTTATTTTTGTATCCTTGAACTGTTTTTTTTTAAACATCCTAAGACCAAATGAGGCAAGATTTATAAATGCAAACAAATGTATAAACAAACAATCCAGGCCCTCTTAAGTAATTTGAAAATAGAAATAATCCATCCATATAGGAAAAATCACAATCAGTATCTCCAATGGGGCTCAATGAGAAAAAGGAATTTTCTGTCTTAATCACTCTTGACTCCACAATATTAAAATTGTGGCATGTATAATCTAAGCTGTATGATGATGGGTAAGGAAAAGTTCATTCTCTTTTCTTCTGTGGGTTTCACCAGCTTATCTTCCATGACTCTTAATGGCTCCTTAAAAACACTCATTCCCTTGCTCTTGTGGGTCAAATGAATTCTCCTGAATTAGTTCTCATCAACTAGTTCCCCATTCCTGCTGTTTTCCTTTTGTGCATTCTTTGCTGGATGCAAACATCCCCCAGCATACTCGGTCCCCAAATAAAACTGTAAATATTCTTCAAGAGCAGTCAGTCCAAATTGCTCAGGGATACTCTGAAGAATTTTTTTAAAAGCAAGCAAATATTATTCACACAAGACTTTTGTTAAGTATTGCTTAAATCATAATTGGTAAAAAAAAAAATTTTAATCGTTTATTAAAACCATCTCATAAGAGCACCAAAAATCTTCCTCAGGTCGCTGATAAAGGGCCCTTTCCACTCCCCTGTTACACAGTGGAGACCCCCACCATACTCCTAAGAGGACAATGTGGGTAGTGATAATAAACTTCTCAGCCTAAGACCAGGAAATCTAGGTCTTCCCTAGCCTCCACTACTGTAGTATGTTGGGCTTACCTTCTAAGTCTGTTAAATGAAAGCCTAAGTGTTCATGAAAGTTTCTGTCAGATACCACATTTCATGACTCTAGGAGAGATGCACAGAAGTTGGGGTTTAACGTTTCACTCAGCAGATCTCTGTGTAACCCATATAGTAAATGCTAGGCATTGTGTCCTCTGAGGGTGGGGTCTCTCTTGTGCTCCCCTAGTCCCTTCAAATACCTCTGTTATGTTACTTGACACTCTTTACTGGAATTAGAGGCTCCCTATTCTGGTTCCACCACTGACTGCTTCGTTATTTTTGCCAATGAGCAGAAGAATTACTGGCACACAGTAGGCACTCAAGAGGCATTTGGTGAATGACTCTTCATCTGTGAGGTTAAGCAGCCTGGAATGAGGAGCAGAAAGAGCTCGTCAACTATAATGTCAAGTAATATGGCGTTGAAACAACAATATGACTACCTCATATTCTCCCTAGGAATTTCTGAGCCCACAGCATCGGGTGAGTCCACTGAGCTTTGCCTCTCGTAAGCCTTGAACACAGATGTATCCCAGGCACTCAGCTGCAGGTTGGCACACTGAGCCATCTGTGCTGGAACTTTCTGTTGCTTCTCCAGGTCTCATCTCCACTCCATGAACCCAGTGGCTGCCTCATGTGGGCTTGGCCGATGGAGAGTACAAGGAAGGATAGGGCGGTGGGCGTCTGATCTCTCTCTTCAGGGCCACCACAGCTGAACTGCCCCCTGACCGGAGGTCACAGCCCCTGTCACACAACCCTCCTGCATATTCATTCCGCACAGGGATGAGGAGCGCTGCTGTCTCTCCTCTCTGGGTTCCTTGCCACCCATCCCAGGGGCTGCAATCTCCCTTTCTGTTTTTCCATATCCTGTTTATTAAGCCCTGCACTGAACTCTGCTCAATCACTCATTTTGAGTATGACATCAGTTTCCTGCCAGGATCTTGACTGATAATCACTCCAGTTTTATGAAGAGTAAACAATATACCCAGTCATCACCAGGCACAATGAGAGGATATAAATGCTGTGTTTTCCTACTCTTCCTGGTCATAATTTTTATACACCCCACAATGGCCGTAGAGTACTTTTAACATATAGTAGCTACTTAATAAATCTTGGTTGAATGAATGAAAAAGTTTCTAGGATACTTCTGACCAGATTCAAATACATGGAAATCAGTGTGACCAGATGAATTTAACTTCTTTAGATTTAAGAAAGTTTCTTATTTCAGTAATGGATGGGGGAGGAATTCTGCTTTACAGATCCCATTCTCTTTTCTCATGCTGTGACTGAATTGCAGGTCAACTCCAGGATAAACAGTGCCCAGGGATGAGCTGACAGCTCAGGGGTAAGTTTAACAGACTCAGAGATTAGTTTAATAGACTGAGAGATTAATTTGCTGATCCTTCCTGGATCTTGGAGAAAATAGTGATTTCAATTCATGTCTGATTCATATGCATCCACTTTGCAGGGTCATCACTTTTCACCTCCCACACCCAGACAGAAATGTAGTTTGGGGTGAACTGTACCTCTTCGAATCACTCATGCTTATAATGAACAAGCCAAATAATCAATAAAGCCAAATCATCACTCACCTTGTGTATCGATCTCACTGAGGCAGTGAGGAAGGAACTTCGAGTTCTGGTATTGGGGGAAGCACTTCCTTAACCCGAGTGGGCTCTATCATTTAAAAAAGAAAATTGCATTAGAGTGCATTTCATCAACAGCAGTGCAGAAAGAGACGTGATATATTCTAATGTAGGAAGTGCAGTAAGAGAACCCTGCCCAACACCCAGAAAGGATTTTGTCAGTTTCCATCACTCACTAGATTTCCCGCCTACAACACTAACACCTTTAACCTACTTCTCTCAACTCTGTTTTGGTTCCTTCTTTCTTTCCCTCACCTTCTCAGTTCATTTTCTGGGCAAAAGACTTGAATTACAGTCAAGGAGACACAACATAGAAAGAAATGTAAAAGCACAATATCAACTAGCAAGAAAAGAATTTTAGTTTGGAAACTAACTACAAACATTCCCTTCTATTGCATTTTGTTGAAATATGTCCCTAAGGGGAATGTTAATAATGTCCTCAATTTCAAGGACAATTTTACTAAGAAGAAAATTTTTAAATTAAATGCATTTTAATCTGTCTTCTTGCTTTATAACTATGTGACTCTATAAAATTCTTTATTCATCTAATATTATTGTCAGCCGACTTCAAAGGAGGAGATAAAACTTCATGTCCTGCATAGTGACATCTTTCATTGTCCTAAGATCTGAGGTACTGCTTTTCTAGCTTTTATATTGAGATGAGTTCTACATAATATATGTGGGTTTTGTCTCATAGACATCTCTGCTGTGATCCAAAGCCCTGAACATAAGTGGGAAGGAAGGGACAACAATTTGAAGACAAGCTTAGGTAGTTGCTTCTTAAGAAACCAAAGAGAAGATTTAAGTCATTCAGAAACATGATGTTTCTTGTCTGTTACCCAAACAGAAATACTGTGGAATTTTCAGAATTTTTTTTTATTTTAATTAGAAATTTTCTTTTAATAGGAAAATTTTTGAGGAGATTTGATTTTCTGAATAAGGAACATATTCTCATATATATTTTATATATTTTGTACTGGGGATTTAACCCAAGACCTTCACATTGACCTACATCCCCAGCTCTTTTTATTTTTATTTTGAAACAAGGTCTAAGTTACAAAATTGCCCAGGCTGGGCTTGAATTTGTAACCCTCCTTCCTCAGCTTCCCAGGTGCAGGGATTATAGGCCTGTGCCTGTAAAGCAGTCTGTTCTCACTCTTTACTCATTTGCCTGCTGAACTGTAGTCTTTTGTTCATCAGTTATTAGAAGCTCCTTATGTTCTAGGCATTTAGCTGCTTATTTTCAATTAGCTGCAAATAATTTTCTCCATTAGTTATATCTCTTTTTTTACCTTAGCTAGTGATGGGTTTTGCTGTATACATTTTTTTTCACATACTCAAATTTATCAATCTTTTATATGAATTTTGTGCCATAATTAGAAAGGTCAACTTTGCAATTATAGATGAATTCAGCCATAGTTTCTTTCCTTACTTTTTATAGTTTTATATTTGCATTAAAACCATTGATCTAAGCGCAAGGTCCTGAGTTCGATCCCTGGTACAAAAAAAAAAATCATTGATCTGCTTAAAATTCCCCCAGTGTTAGTGTGAGCTCTGGATTAAGTTCATTCATGTTCTGTCTTGGTCATTCAGTTGTCTCAACACCACTCATTCAGTAATCTTCCATTTTCCTGTACCATTTTCATTCATGCTAAAATCTTGAACTTTCTAATTTTTCATCTGATATGTTTATTTAGTCAAGTACCAGAGCCATGGTAGAATGGATGCTCATCACCTTCATTCTGCTATTTAAGTTTTTTCCCTATCATTGAGAATCTATTTTTCATAAAATTATTAAATGAACTTGTTTATTTCAAAAATATTACCCTTACTGATTTAGGAAGAATTGCCAAACTTATATATTCATCTTCTTATTCAAGAACATGTTATATCTTTCCTTTTGTTCAAATTACTTTTATTTTCCTCAAGGGTTTTTTTTAATGTTTTCTTCAGAAGGATCTTGTATATGTCGTAGATATTTTATCTTTTTATAGTTATTTGTATCTTCTACAGTTTATCTTCTAACATTATTTAGATAAAGAAATCCTATTGAATTTTAATATTAATTTGGTCAAAAAAATAAAACTAAAAAATTCCATTTGACCCAGCTGTTCCCCTTCTAGGTATCTTCCCAAAATTGTTAAAGACATCATATCACAGTGATTCATGCATACCGATGTTCACAGCAGCGCTGTTCATAATAGCTAAGTCTTGGAAGCAAATTGTATGTCCATCAACAGATGCACGGACAGAGAAAATGTGGGTATTTACACACAATGAGGTGCTACTCTACCATTAAGAAGGACAAACTTGAGTCATTTATAGGAAAATGAATGCACCTCGAGACAATAATGTTAAGTAAATCAGACACACAAGCTTAAATACTGCATGGTTTCTCTTATATGAAAAACTTAATATATAAAGTACAAAATAAAAAACAGATAATAGAAAAAACAAGAGAGAAAACTTATTGTAACCCAGCACAGACAATGTTATCTAAAAGCATAGCTTGACTTAGTATAATTGTCTTATGTGTTTTTTATGTTTTTGACCTATTTAGTTTGATTTTTAACCTGTATGTATAATAATTAATTTTATAAAGTCTCATAAACAAATGAATTTGATGCTGACAAAGTAAAAGGGGGTGGAGGGAAGAGGGGAAAGAATTGAATTGTATTATGTACAGGTACCATTTTCCTATGATGAAAGTAGTTGTTATGTAATGCAGACACACACTAATAAAAGTCAAATGAATAATTAAAATAATCCTAATTCGGACTCTGTCCCTTGTTAAAGTTTTATTTTTTATGATTTTTAGTGAATTTTCTTAGATTCTCAGGTACATAATTTCCAGAACACATCTGCAAAATAAATGATTTTACATGTTCTTTCAAACTTTGAGACCTCATATTTCTGTGTTTTGTCTAACTGTGTTGACAATGATAGAGTGGCAATTGTGGATAGTCTCAAAAATTTCTGACTTTAGCTAGGCATGCTTCTAGTGTTTCGCCATTAAACATATTTCTGGAGTTTCTGCTCATTTGTTTGAGACAGGTACATTTTATAATGTTAAGGAAGTATCTACATATCTCATTTTTATTTTTATTTTTTTGAGTCAAGGACTTGCTATGTTGTTCAGGCTGGTCTTGAACTCACTACATAGCCCATGCTGGCCTCAAGCTCATAACAATCCTTCTTCCTCAGCCTTCTGACTTCTGGATTATAGTCTCCACCACCATGCCTGGCATTATTATAAGTTTTAATGCATTTTTAAATGAAATTTTTAGCATCTAGAATTAAAGAAATCATCTTTCCTCCTAGATCTATAAATATGATAAGTGATATTAATAGATTTCTACTGACAAACAGTTCTTACACTCCTGCAATAAGCTCCATTTGATCATGGTGAGTTGCATGTGTGTGTGTATGTACACATAACTATGATTTTTGAGCTGTTCTATGGATGTTTTGCTACTATCTTATTTAGGATTTTTGCTTACATATATATAAATAAAATTGCTCAATAGTTTTATTTTAGACTTTCTTTCTTGAGTTTAGAGATTCTTAAAGCTTATGTGATAAAGGAAACACCGTCTTTTTTTGGTCTGTGCCATCAATTGCATGTGCCTTGTCGTGTGCCGAAGATTTGGTCCTCAGTGTGATGATGATGGTAGGTAGTGGGATCTTTCCAAGGTGGGGCCTCGTGGCAGGTCACTGAGGGTGTACCCTCAGAAGGGGTAAATTGCTCTTGTGGGACCCTGGTTAGTTCTCGAAAGAGAGTTGTTATCAAAGAATGAGCTTGACACCTCTCTGGTCTCTCCGGCTTCCTCTCTGGTGATGTGATCTCTCCCTCTCACACATGCTCACACTGTGGTATCGTCTGCCAAGAGGCCTTCAGCAGAGCCATGCGGAAAGTGGAGCCATGCCCCTGAACCTCCAGAACTGTGAGCCAACTACTTCTTCCATTTGTAAAGCATCTAGCACCTGGTATTTTGTTACAGTAACAGAAAAGAGACTGATGTACAGTAAGTCCCTGACTTATGAATGAGTTCCATTCCAGGAGAATGTTTATAAATCAGATTCATTTAAAATCTGAGAAAGTGAGTCTGATACGGTATACCTGTGAATCTCGTACAGTACACCTGTGAAAGTTCACAACTCTAATGTTTGTAAGTCAGGGACTTACTGTGGTTTTAATATTTTATATGCCACTGGGAACATTTATGTCTTTGAGATTAGTAAAATTCTCCAGAAAACTGCTTTCCTGTTACTTTTTGAGGGCAAGTTGATACATTTTCTATTTCTTCTATGACAATTGTTTTGTTTAGATTTTCTATTTCTTCTGGTGTCCAGTATTGAAAATCTCCCTAGAAACCTATACATTTAAACTAAAGATTTTTTTAAAATTAAGATGGTAACTATTTTTATAAAGACCAGAAATAAATAGATTTTTTGAGGCTATTTCTAGTGATATTAAGGGCTCTTCCATATTGATAAAAATGCTAAAATCACCACTAAAGTTGGAATTTCTTCTTATAGAGCATTTAGTTTTATAAAAGGTACATGATAAAACTTCCTGAGTAGGACAAACAGAACTGAAACCCACTCCTTCCCTGGGTCAGAGCTCCCATGTTCTTGCTCACCTCACAAGCCTATTGCTCTTGAGCCCCTTAGCACCCTTTTCTTAGTGTTATTGCCAGTGAGTACCAGTCACTTCCACAGGGCCAGTCTGTCAGCCCAGCCCCACACTGAAAGTTCCTACAGTGATTCCTGTTTCTTTAAACCAGTGATTTCTGTCCTTTTAAACCTGTATTTTCAAAGGATGGCTGTGGTAGGCCAAATTCCAAGATGGCCCCCAAGATTCCTGCAGCCTAGTGCGTGTGCTCCCTATATATCCTCCCCATGGATGTGGGCAGGATGGTGAACAGAATGAGCTTCACTGCTATGATCCAGTGATATTATAAGGCAAAAATAAGGGATTTTGCAGTGTGATTAACATCCCAAATCAGTTGATTTTGAGTTAATGAAAAG